GGGAAACTTCTTCTGCGTGGAATTCTGTTGAGACGAGCTGCGAAGAAGCAGGCGCTGTGTGCCTCAGAGGCCAGGAAAGTTGGTGGTGTCCAGGAAGAAAGTGGTGATGCACGTGGCCGATTAAATCCGTCCGCCCGTCTGTTGTTGAAACACATCGATCGTATCTTCATCTTCCATTTCCAACTGTTAAGGGGGAAAAAAAAAACAAAAACATATAAGCCCATGAATTTCATAACGTTTGAGTAATTTATGCAAAAAGTGATATGAGGGAAAATATCTGTACTGCAAAGAGGAAAAGGAGGATGCTAATTTGTTGACCTAGAGGGTGACAGTATGCCCTGTCCAAATGAAAAACTTCCCATTTGCATACACAAAATAGCACCACTGTGACAATAAAATGACGCACTGTATTTGGCTTTGAAGGCTGCACTGTGGACAAGGTTGGATGGCACTGCAATAACATGCAAGTTGTGGTTACTCCAGCCACAAACTGCAGTGAATACAACTGGCATCTGCACAGCGACATATTCAAAAACAACTTAAAATTAGCTTGTTGTGACAACCCGAGGCTCCTCATGGCAGCACTGTGACTTTGAACGAACATCTTTCAGCCTGGAGAACCCCTTAATGCCCAGTTATTAAGAAATACTGTTATCACAAGCACTAATCATTCAAATTTCAAATTCAAATTTTTATTTGTCACGTACACAGTCATACACAGTACGATATGCAGTGAAATGCTTAGACAACTGCTCGTGACCTAAAGAAAAAAAAAAGGAAAGGGCTATGAATAAGATAGGAAATAAATATGAAAAATTAAAAAGTGTAAATTTAACTAGGAAGGAATAAAATATAAGAATATAAAATATAAAAAATGAAATAACTGTACAACACAAATTAGAATGAAGGGTAAATTTAACTGGGAAAGAATAAGATAAAATATATAAATTAAAGTTGAAAATAAAATAACTGTACAACAAAATACACAATACACAGTATAGAACTATATAAGAATGTATGAAGAAATATAAATAAATATATATATATATATATATATATACATATATATATATATATACACACACACACAATATCATCATGGGAAGTGCATGAAGTATGTTTAACTTATTGACACGGCCTCACCTGTGCTGGTGTGTCTGTCTCGTTTATTGGCTGCCCGTCAAATCTGAACCTGATTTGCCTCATTGACAGTCCCTGAAAAGAGAAACGTGTAAAATCTTGTTGTTAATCTCATGTGAAGCTCTGTATAGGCTAACGTGTACAAAATAAAAATGCAGACAATAATATACTCATGCTAAAGATAAGGCAGCTGAGGTTTGAGAGACATAGAAAAAAAACATGTCTTGCTGTGAAGCAGAAATGAAGAAATAATGATAACCATCTGGTTCTGGCTGTACTTTAGAAAAAAGAGCTGTATGACAAACATCTCTTTTACCCTGATGGGAGTCCAAGGAACAGATAACACAGTGATTGGGTTTCCATTCTTCCACAGAGTTGAACCCTTATTTGACTTTCAAATAAAAAGGATCTCAGACCTCGTGTTCTATTACATATTTCTTTTACTTTTGTGCACAGCTCTTTTAGAAAACTTTGGGAATTGCTTTTGTAGCAATGCAAACACAGCTGCAATTAATAGAGAACCAGAGTGATGCTCAGTGCAGTGCTAATTCATACAAAAGTCAAAATTCCTGCATTCCATTACAGCAAGTAGCTTGGCAGAGAACAGCTTAAAATCTGAGCTAATCCATAACAGCAGGAGGAAAAGATTAGATGTCTTCTGCGATTACTGTGAAATCACAGATGACGATAAGGGAGGTTCATTTAAAGGATGCAAGAACCACGTAAAATGTTAAAGCTATGCTATCAAGTAGGTATTTGCATTAAAGCTGTAGACCCTAACTGCATTTGAGGAGGAAGAGAAGAACTGCAACGGAAACTTTTTCAAGGAAAAGTGAAACAACAGCCGTGATGAGTTACTGTCTGATGGATGGATGGACGGATCGTTTAGCACGTGATGTGTCTGTTAAATGTGATTAAAGTATTTGAGACTCGAGGACAGCTAAGTATGTTCTCTGTCCAACACACATACATTTGGCCTAACAGTAAATTTCTACAAACAAGTGGAATATTCGATTTAACTAATAAGAACACCCCATGATTCAAGCTTGTAGAACCAACTAAATCATATTCTGTATAACTTTTATCAGTATTTACCAGGTGACTGAGGCTTGCAAGCATTTGTTTATCCTGCCACAGCATTTAAACCAGGCTGAGGTCTGGACTTTGAGTGGGTCATTGCAACACCTTGAGTCTTTTCTTTTTCAGTCATTCTGTTGTACAGTTGCTGACGTGCTTGGGATCACTGTCCTGTTGCGGGATTTAATTTTGGCCAAGCTTTAGCTGTCAGACAAACGGCCTGTGGCTCTGTGGCTTAAAAACAAACCCAAATCATGACCCCTCCACCTCCGTGCTTAATAGTTGGTATCAGGTGTTTGTACCGATATGCTGTGTTCGGTTCTCACCAAACGTCTCTGTTCATTACGGCCAAAAACCTCTTCTTTGCTCTCCTCTGTCCAAAGGACATTGTTCTACATGTCTTGTTGTTTGTGCAGAAGCAACTTTGCAAATTGAAGCTGTGCTGCGTTGTTCTTTTTAGAACCTGGTAACCCTTCCAAACAAGTCACACTTGTTCAGTCTTTTTCTAACATTTAACATCCTAACTGAGGCTCTTGGGTCATTTTGCTATTTCTCTCAGGACTGCAAGGTTTGACCTTGACCTGAACTTGCCTGTAGATCCACTTCTGGGATTGTGGCATTGTGTTACCACACAGCTGAATACTCCAGATCTACAACCTACAAATTTCTGCTTGTATAGAGGTGCTCACACGCGCTGATAATCAGTTAATCAAATACAAGTTGATTAGTAACACCTGGCTGCTACTTGTCCCCTTGATCCCTATTGAAGTAGTAAAGGTGTACTTAGTTTTCCAGAGGATCGCACAGAGTCCTATGAAAACCTTTTTAAAATGCCTGCATATATTTTATGGTAAATGGGATTTTTAAGATGCCCTGGCATAACTGCTTGTTTTGGCATCTAGAATACAAACATATAATCTGCAGTCATTACATGCATGTGTGAAAAGTGTCAAAGAATTGAAAGTAAATGGTTTAATTGTATCCTATTCGGTTGTAAAACACGATTAACTGTGTGCAAACTTCAAAGTCTGGCCTCTAAAACATTAAGTAACTCCAGTAATGATTTCCTTATGATGTTAAAACAGCATAACCTGTAAGCACTTGCAAGCCTTGCTCCACAGAGGGTAGGCAACTCTCCCAGTAGATGTAATTTTATACACCCGTGTCTTTTTGTAAATGGTGTGCAGCGATGCAGGGAAAAGGTCAATTAAAAGAAAGCAGGATTATTGTTAATAACATGTAAACATGTTATTTAGAATACAATCCAACAGCTAACTATCAATTACATCAAGTGTATATATGATTAGCAGCAGAGGTGTACAGAGGAACACTCGACAGATATTTCTGGGGAAATAATACTTAAAGTCGAGTTCCCCTCATGTGGTGAGAACAGAAAATAACAAGAAGTCTATTTAACTGTAGCTACACTCTGCTTATAAAGATCTATGCCCACTCAGGAAATGATCAGTGTTAGTGTAATGCCTCAGGGCCATAATCACCTGTCTCTCGCAGTAGGCCTTCATGAGTTTGATGAGCGGTGTGTGTCTTTTGATCTTGAACTGCACTACAGATCCATCCTGACCCGCTACCTTCAGGTTTATGTGTTCATTGTTTTCTGTCTTCACTGATTCCTGAGGGATAGAAGCACAGATAGAAACACAGTGAAGGAACAAAAGAAATGACTTTGACTAACCAGAACAACACAGTAGTTACAGGTTTGCAGGGGGAAAGCTCTGCACGGTATTTTCTGTTATTATTACATGCGTAATTTCAGTCCCTTTAGTGCCTCCGGTGGCCTTTTAATTTTGCAGTAGCGTGATGAAATAATGAATTCAGACTTAAACAGCTCACCAGGTGGCTAGGGAAGGATATTGGCAAGAGCTTATTAATATCCATGACATTATCAGTTGTGCTAATTCTTTATTGATTCTTGATCAATTTTCTTTGGGAGGAAAAAAGCAGGCAAATGTCAGTATCAACCCAGCCGTGTCATTATCGCCAAAACAGAGTAGGAAAAGACTGAGCAGCACAAAAGCAGCACTGCTATGAGTTTGACTTCACTTTCGCAATGTGTAACTGCCAGAAAGATATGTCAGCATCCATAAAAGGAAGGTTGATGAGCCCAAAGGTGTAAAATTCCCAGGACTTTTGCGAATTTGCATATTTTGAAATTGTTTAGATATACAGTGCTGTGCAAAAGTGTTGAACCACCACTCATTTCTTAGATTTTGTTAGGATAATGGCAAATAGTTGCAGCAATTTATTGAAACATGCAAACATACTTGAGAATACAGTATGAGCTTGAAAATTAATGTTTGATATGACCAGACTTTATTGTTCCAACACAGCCTGAACTCTCCAAGGAGAGCCTTCTTGTAATTTCTTTAAGTAGTCTGAGCAGTTCTCCAAGGTTCTTGAAGGACATTCAAAGCTCGTCTTTGGATGTTGACTGCTTTTTGGTCTTATCTCCTTCAACATGATGCAACACTATTTCAATAATGGTGAGGTCCAGGTTCTGGGGAGACCAATCCATCACTGACATTGTGTCCCACTGTTTTTTTTTGGTTTTTTTTAATCCAAGGTGTGCTTTTACTGCACTGGCAGTGTAGTAAAAGCACTTACTGTGCTCGAAAATGAGCCTTTTGCCAATCAGATGCTTGCCAGATGATATTACACGATGGATCAAAATCGGTACTTTTCTGTGTTTCCATCAGCTGTGACAAGATCCCCAACACCATTGGCTGAAATGCAGACCGAAACCATGACAGAGCCTCCACTGTGTTTGACAGATGGATGTAGACACTCACTGCTGTATCGCTCTCTTGACTTCCTCTGTACATATAGATAATTTAAACCCAAAAAATTATAAATCTCAACTCATCACTCCAGTTCTTGTCTAATTTTGATACCTCAGCTTTTTCTCCTCATGTTCCTCTTCCTTGAAAATGGCTTCTTGACAGCCATTTCTGATGAGGCTTCAGAGGACAGTACATGGATCATCTGAATGTCCAGGTGCATGCCTCAGGTCCTGTGTCAGGTCTTTGCCGAATTTTTCCCATTTCTTATGGGCATGAATTTCAGATGCTGATCATCTGTTCATCTTAAAGTCTATAATCTTTTTTGTCCTCCACTTGTCCAATTTCCTAAAATTTAAGGACACACTGCACACAGTCCTGAGATATGCTAGGTCTCTCTTTGGGAATCACTTTGTTGGTGCAAAAATACAATTTAAGCCTTTTGTGGCATAAAAAAGTCAGTTAAAGAAATGTGTTTTCTAAATAGGCAAAAACACGAAAGACCTGGAAAACTTGCTTATAACCACTGAGTAGGCAAAACAGAGAGTACTGAGGGATGGCTCAAGACTTTTGCACAATACTGTATACAAACTATTTCTCAGATTTAAACAAAATTTAAATCTTAAGTCCCCCCTTTTCGCTTCGCCTGCAGACCGAGATCACCACAGTGATGATTCATAGAGTTTCAGTGGCACCAACAGATTTTCACCGGTACACTCTCCCACAGTGGCACAAGCCATTCACACATGGAAGCACGCAAAAACACACGCAAACACACACACACACACACACACACACACACACACACACACACACACACACACACACACACACACACTGGCGAAATGAGGCATGCAGTGGGGATGACACCAGCTGGTTGGCTGTGTGTTATCAAGCAGAAAGAGGTCCGCGCGCCATTGGATGCGCGTTCACAAACCTTCCGGTCTATCAAAGTAGGTACAGCTAGTAGTTGAATTTCAGCTTGTAACTTTGCAAAAAGGCACAGCGGAACATGCGGAAATGACCGTATTTTTACACACGCATGTGTCAAAAAAAATCAAGCGGAGTAAACTGGCATTTCAATCCACTGTGAAGACACTCACCTTTGGTTTTTCATCAGCCATGGTCACTCTTTTGGCGCTTCTCTACACTGCCACACAAAGAACACGAGTACGCGCACGTACTCGTGCCCGTTTAGTCTATTGCAACTGAACGTGCGCGGCCACGCGCCCGTGCGCGTCCACCTCAACGAGCGTTGAGTGGACAGCGAGTAGTCACGAGGTTGAAAGCGCAGTCTGGGCAAGGGCGGGAGAGTCACAATGCGCGTTAAAGAGGCAGGCAGATGCACGTGCACGCGCACAGCGATGTTTTCCCTTTTGTTTTTAGGTTTAGAAAAGCGGTTATCTCATTAAATGCTCCTTATCGCCCTGCTGACCTCGCATGGGTGCAGCATAGTTCAGTCAGCATCACCACACATGATCCTCACTGCATGGGGAGAGCGATATGTGCACTTTTCCATTTCCTTTTTCGTTTTAACCCTTTAAATACCAGTGGCCATCTTGTTTTTTTGTTTTGCCTGATGGTGATGTGTAGGTGTACTGAACCAATGGTGGCCTTTACGAACTCAAACTGTAAGAGTACAGGGCAAAGCTGCACTGATTCTTCACAGATTCAAGTGGAGACATTAGTGGGGGTAGCATGTTCGTGGATAGCAAAAGACAAACCCAGCTTCTTAATGCTGGTAATGACCTTTCGTAGGTGAGTCCGGGCAGGCAGTTATAAGGTTAGTGATAAGCTGTGTTATCTGCATTTGTCGCGATAAATCCAAAATCCCGAGTCAAGCTCAGCCGACGGAAAAACAGGCAGGTAGACGGGCACCCCTTTCGGTGACATCTTAACGCATGCGCAGCAGGTACTTTCGACTGAAAGAGCGAGGCGCGTAAGCAGTACCGGTCCACATTTGCAGTTCATGGCGTGTTTATAGCCAAAAAAGTTACCATTGTTGTCTTTTCTGTGTCGATGATATTGTTCACATATGGAGGAGGTAGACGTTGAGCCCACTATTACTGTAAGTAGCCATTGTAGCTTAGTGTTTTTAATTCCTTATTGCCACTAAATGGCTTTGCTAACAGGCTAACTTTCGCAAACACCTATTTCAACGACCCGTTTGAATATTTATATTGTACGTTGTCAAGAAATGTTAAGGGGCACACACTCAGCCATGTCACAAGTGTAAAAGTGGCAAGATTATAAGAAGATGACTTAGAATTACTAGCAGCATTAATTACAGTTTGAGTTAGTAATATAGCTAGACCATGTCCCAGTCACCACTCAACCTTCTCACATAATATTAGAATTAAATATGAAACGGAATCATTTAATTTTAACCCTCGTCATGTTATTCACATTATTTTCAGTGTAGTAACAGTGTTTGTATTTTTTATTTTTTTTAATTGCAGAATATCCCTGCAATCAGTGATGGAAAGCACATGGGATTTGCATGGGGTCCTGGTGATATTCTTGTATATGAGACACGATACAAAGCATCAGGTATGCTTCAAAATTAGTACAAGGCACCATGTATACTTTCCCAGTTTTCCTCTATCTCTTTTTCTTTTTAAGAGAATGAATGGTTTAGTGAATGCCTGTAAAATGCTGTCTTAATTTTTGTGTGTTTGTCACACTTTAATGTTTCATATTATCAAAAACATTTGGATTTTTGATGAACAAAGATGACCAGATTAAATATAAAAGGCAATTTTTAAATGACGGTTGCATTTATTAACAGAAAAAATGTATTCAGCGCTATCTGGCCCTGTGTTTTTGTTTGTTTGTTTTTTAAAAAAGATAATTGCCCCCCAAACTTAATAACTGGCTGTGCCACCGTTGGCAGCAAGTAATGCAATCAAGCGTTTGTGATAACTGGCAGCAAGTCTTTTACATCGCTGTGACCCACTCATCTTGGCAGACTTTATTTAATTCAGCCACATTGTAGGGTTTTCAAGTGTGAATGACTTGTTTAAGGTTTTTCCAATTCATCACAATTGGATTTAAGTCTAGAATTGCACTCCAAAACCTTACATTTGGGTTTTTGTGAGACATTCAGAGGTGGACCTCCTTGTTCAAATTCAAATTCAAATTTTATTTGTCACGTACACAGTCATACACAGTACGATATGTAGTGAAATGCTTGGACAACTGCTCGTGACCTAAAGAAAACAAAAAAAGGAAAGGCTATGAATAAGATAGGAAATAAATATGAAAAATTAAAAAGGGTAAATTTAACTAGGAAGGAATAAAATATAAATTAAGGTTGTGTGTTTCGAATCATCATAGAGTGATTAGAATTCATGGTTTCACCTAGCAGCTCCACACCATCACATTACCACCACCATGTATGACTGCTTATATGATGTTCTTTTATGAAATGCTATGTTAGATTTACACAAGAGGTAATGGGATTAAAAACATGCTTAGCCCTGGGACAATTAGGTTTGGATAACCTTTTTTTTCCTTCCTAATAAATGAAATCATTTAAAAACAGCATTGTCTTTGTCTAGTATTAAAATTTATCTATTTATCTGATCATGTAAGTGTGACATGATCAGATAAATAGACAAAAATAAGCAATCAGGAAGGGGGGGGGATTATTTTCCATAGCACTGTATGATGTGTTTTACTATATTTTTTATGGTTACTTTTAGAGATGTGCAAATATATGTTTTCAGTAAACATATTTTGAGCCGTCTTTTTCAGACATTTAAATTTTGTTGCATATGTGCAATGACAATAACTATAATATTGCTGTTGTTCTTTCACCTCCTGCCTTTGTTTCAGGTGCTTCAGGATCAGGTTGCTCGTTCATCCATGAGATCAGGAAAGATGAGGACATATATTCCCCCATTTTACGCAAGCTTTTTAACGAGTCTCACCACATCTTCGTTGGCCTGCAGACAATTAGAGAGGACCTCCCTAGCAAGAGTAAAAACCCCAGTAAGGGCGCGTGATGCGATCCCACCTCTGTTTGTTCAAATTGTTGGATTGCATATCAGTGGCATAACAATAGTTGCAAAAGTCACACAAAGCAGCACCCACATTGTATGTTTTACAATTTTACCTCTGCCTTACTCCTTAGATTTGTTAGTATCAGCAAAAATTATCGATCCGTGATCCGTGCTTGTATGGAGGAACTTCAGCAAGTTGCAGGTAATACTTTTGAAAATATGCTTCTTTTGGCAAAAATTTTGAGTTGATGTAACCATAAAAGTTTTGGCAGTTTTTTCAGATTTCTATTTTATAGTCTTGTTTATACAATAAAAACACAGGAAAGGTGTGTGATTACTCAGAAAAGAACTTTTCTTTTTTGCAGTTTCTACCAAAAATACAGAGTTGGCCACGCAGTGTGGAAATCAGGTAAGTACTAATGTTTGTGTGGCAATAACTTTCCCTGGACTAGTCCACATACAGAGCATGTATGATTTAATTGAGTAGCATGTCACATCTCTGTGGGTTTTATGACCACAATCAAACAGCCTGTATTTAAAAGGGGATGTTAATGCTCAGTTAGTGAGGAAGAATCCACATTCAGTTTTTTACTCGGATATACATTTCATTACATTGTTTAGTGGCACTATCCTGACCCTGATCTGCTTTTTGTTAAAGGTGTCCATTCTTTTGGCCATAGAACTGATCTGGAATCTGTGTGAAGTGCTGTTCATCGATGCTGCTCCAGGTTAGAATCTGCATCTTATGACTGGATTTTGGGGTTGGAGAAACACCCAAACAAATGTATGTGCAACATGGGTGTGTCTGTATTTTCAGCGGGCTCCCTGTTGCTCCACCTGCTGGACTGGGTAAGGTTACATAAGGCTGACGTGGACGAGAAGGCCAGGGAGGTGCTCCAAAGTGAGAGCCCTGCCGAGCACCGCGACTATTGGGACGTGGTAGGTGCAGCATGTGCGCACAGTTACATCTTTAAAGTGACATGTGCACTGTTGGTGTTCTGCATTTGCTTCTTCATCTGTGTTTTGTCTGATATGAATTCTCTGGAGAGATGTGAGTGATCACATGGCGTGTGTGTGTGTGCTCAGGTGGTGAGTTATGTGCTGCAGGGCAGGTTGGAAGAAGTCAGACAGATGCTGGTGAAACAGGCCAACCTACAGCCTGCTGCCAGGAGCATGTACAAGCAGATGGATACCTTGCTCAGCAAGATGCCCTTCTACAATGTAAGATAAAAATGCAGTGGTTTATTTCCTTTGAACGATAGCTGAAATTATTTTAATCATGCTTCTAAATGGGATTATTGTGAAAGTGTGCACTGTTAATTTTACAGTCAGAAATTAATCACACAGGTTCTTGATGTTTTCTTAATGGGCTGTGGATGTGACATTAGAGGAAATTATCTCTAGGCTGCAAATACACAGTATGATGATATAAAATGATAATAAATGGTCTCCTATAAGTTAAAGTGTATCAAACATCAAATGTGCTGCTGTGGACTAAAATGAATTTAAGCCTCTTTATTTTGCTGGTGGTGAAATGAAAATCTACAAATCTGTTCAAAACTTCTTTGCTAAAGTTTCTGTTGCTTTCACATACATCATTCAGACAGTAAAGGGATTAAGTACAACATGTTTGTGTTCATTCAGTGCAGCGATTTCTCTAACGCAGCCTAAACACAAGATGAGCGCATGAGCCGACCCGTGCTGACTCACACCTCTGAATTTTCTGTAATGTTCCCTCAGCCTGGTGGCACTCAGACGCTCACAGAGTTTGATGTAAAGTGGAGGCACTGGCACGAGGAGGTGGACCGCTGCCTGCAGGACAACTCGTTCGCCAGCAACCGACATCTGGAGCTCATCTGCAAGGTGAGTGAGGAAGTTCATTATTGAAGGGTCAGTGCAAACATCCAGCAACAGTTAGGCTATTTTTTTTTTTTTTTAAATGTCCCCACCCCATTTCACCTTAGATCCTTCTGGGAGATGAAGACACTTTGCTGGATCACAAGGAGCTGCTGGGTACCTGGTATCACTTTCTGGTCACGAGACTTCTCTTCTGCCACCCCACAGTGAAACTCACAGAGTTGCATTATTATGCTCAGGTATACCATATTCTCACATCATTCAGCATTTTAGAATCACTGCTGGTTTAGTCTTAAAAAGTATTGCATTTTTTTTAAAAACCTTGTCAGATATCCTGTAAATACTGTGGTAGAATAATTTTTAAAAAAAATATTTGCGTGTTACATCGTCTGTCGCAAATTTCAACCAGTTCATGTGGCTCTATGATTTACAGTTTGAAATTTGATTGTAAAAAATGTACAGCAGCCCCTGATTTATTGTTTGTGTATCTTGTTTGTATGTGTGCGCACTGCAGTCGTGCGTGACGATGTTCCTGGACTTGAGGAGCGTCCCAGAGCCCCTGGACAACATCTTACTTGCTGCCTTTGAGTTTGACATCCATCAAGTCATCAAGGAGTGCAGGTAAGACAACTTTTTTTTTTTTTTTTTTTTTTTTTGCATCCTGCCATATGTGTGTGTGTGTGTGTTACATGCAGCATACGAATGTGGGGTGGTTCATAAACTACCTTAATTGTTTCCTTTTAGCATTGCTCTCAACAACTGGTGGTTCGTGGCCCATTTGACAGATTTGTTGGATCATTGCAAACTCCTGCAGTCTCATAATCTCCAGTAAGGATGCCGATTGTCTGTTTTTGAACTTGTTTACCTTTTAATTTGGTTGTACACTTCATTAGCCAATATTTACCAAACTCTGTGTGTGTGTGTGTGTGTTTAGCTTTGGCTCCAACTTGAGAGAGTTTCTCCTTCTAGAATATGCTTCTGGTCTCTTCACTCATCACAGGTACGCTCATCCCAAGGTTCAGTGTAATGATGTATAATATATTTGCTTTTGTTTAGATTTACACAGGGTGTGACTAACGTGGCTCCCAGAACAGTTATTTTTATCCTGTTAATCTAGTTAAACAATCATTTCCTCTAATTGACCTAGTACAGGGTAAGCTGAAGTGTAGGTTATCACTGTCATGATTGAGCATGTTTTTCTGTGTTTAGCCTTTGGCAGTTGGCTGTGGATTACTTTGATCACTGTCCAGAGTTTGGTCGTGTCTACCTGGAGCTTCAGATAGAGCGCGTCCCTTTAGAGACGGAGCGTAAAGCTCTCAAGGTGCTGAGGGTTTGTGAGCAGAGGCAAATGTCAGAACAAGGTAACATGTTGCTTCTTAACTCTTAGAAACAAAGATGGGGCTGTTTTTGTTTTTCCAGTGCAGGAGAGACCTAAAACATTTTTTTTTTGTGTGTGTGTGTTTATGCAGTACGGAGTATTTGTAAGATCATGGCTATGCGGGCTCTGAGGAACAATAGGCTGGGCTCTGCTCTCTCATGGAGTATAAGAGCCAAAGATGCTGCATTTGCCACCCTGATTTCAGAGAGGTTAGTTTCTTTCATTATAATTGTAAAGATCCCAGATACTGTTACTTCACACACACACACACACACACCCCCCCCCCCCCCCCTCTCTCTCTCTCTCTCTCTCTCTCTCTCTCTCCCTATTGGCCTTAGCAGGAAGTGTGGTCTCTTCCTGTTTAGTACTGCTTCCACTGTGAACATGTTCCTATACCATCAAACAGCAACCAACCCTTCTGCCCTCTGAATGTTTGTGTTATGGGTTCTGTGGTGTGTTTATGTGTATACTTGTGTTTTAGGTTCCTACAGGATTACTGTGCCAAAGGGACCTTCTCTGATCTGGACCTGATTGATAACTTGGGCCCGGCAATGCTCCTCAGCGACAGGCTGACTTTTCTCGGTATGCTCGGGGAATACACAGTTACTGGAGGACTAGTAGCACCGCCCCACTTGTGACTCAGCCACTGCGTCATTCTCACAAGTTCAGTCAACACATGAAGTGACGGGACATTCAGTCAGACCAGCTTCAGTTCACATGAGTCTCAGACACATAAATGTGCACACAGACGTCTAAATAAAGCTAGCCTGTTGTTTAGTGCAACAGCATGCCATGGTGCGTTTTACTACTGAAAAATCAGTAAAAATATGAGATAAACACAGATAAAATACGTTCCTATAGATTATTGCTGTTTGTGAACTGAGGAGGAACATGCACAAAACCTCCTGGATAATTTGAGCACATCTGAGTGTGAAAACTCTGCTTTATGTTCTTTCTCAGGAAAGTACCGCGAGTTCCACAAGCTGTACGGAGAGAAGCGTTTCAGGGAGGCGGCAAAGCTGCTCCTCTCCCTGATGACTGCAAAGATTGCTCCACAAAGCTTCTGGATGACTCTGCTGACCGATGCTCTGCCACTGCTGGAGCAGAAAGAGGTTAGTCACCAGCAACAAGTCCAGTTTTGGACAAAATTAGTGTGATAATTACAAGAAATCTAGGGCTGCTCAATTAATCGAATTTTAATCACGATTACGATCTGGGCTTTCAACGATCATTAAAAATGACTGAGCCGATTATTAGCCCCTCCCTCATTTATCCGCGACACCTTAAAGGCCAGTCCGTGAAAATATTGTCGGGCATAAACTGGTCCGTGGCGCAAAAAAGGGTGGAGACCGCTGATTAAGAGGACCCGAGGGAAGCTCGGAAAGCTAAGCAGAAGTTATTTGGAGAGGAGAGTGACTGCCGTTGGTTGAAAAGAGAAGTAAAAAAAACTTCAGTGGTGTTGCACACTATTTTATATTATTTTTAAAAGTCATTATTCAATACATTATTGTTAACCCTTTAAAGCCGGTCAGAGCAGCACGCTCCGTTTTGTGTAACTATTTTTAAATCCCTGTAGAACCTGAACCGTGTAAGCTAGCGCAATAATTTGTTTTGCATATGAAACTGGAGGAGTTGTACTTACATCTCATGCCATCAGCTTGTCCTCGGTCACGGTTTCCTTCCACATATAGCTTTGCAAAAATTGCATAAAAAGCGCTTGCAGGAACAAAAACATAATATTCCAGAAACACGCTTTGCTGATCCGATCAGCTGTTCGTAACACTTCCCACAGTGAAACAGACGTCAGCGCGAACTATCGCATGTCTGCCATTTCCTGCCCGAAACCGGAAGTTACGTCATTTTCGCGGAAAATGTAGTTTTTTACTTGTAGGCCTTAAAAGCCTATACTGGTGTTTTTATAAGTCATGTTTGACTCTATACTTTTCTGAATAGTTGCTGGGATGCTTAGAACTCGAATTGCACTGCTGGAAATAGTTTATTTTGATGCACATGCTGTTTTCTTTGCAAATTTGCATCATAGGATTGCTTTTTCGTTTTTCCTCTAGTATATAAAAATTGGTGTATCTCCAAAATAAAACTATGAAGACACTCAAAATAAATTTCCTGTTGTTGTAAACGATTTTTTGCAACTTTTTTGTATTTAAAGTTTTGAGGGATAAGCCTCTTAAATTTCTCCAAGTAGAAATATATGTAAAAAACAAAAACGATTTTCAATTTTTTTGTAGTTTATTGCACTTTTTTGCAATTAATGTAGTTACTATGGACTTAATGCATACATATTATTAAAATATGGGCTATAACAGTTATATAGCAACTTGAAATGCTCCCACAAATGGCACTACAACATGTAAAAAAATAATATAAGCTCTGGCGGACTTGGTTCTATAGTAGGTCTTAAAGGGTTAAATAAATATCGTCAAATAATTGAGATCTCAATTTCAGCGAAAATAATCGTGATTATCATTTTTGCCATAATCGATCAGCCCTAAAGAAATCTGATACTGAAATGTACGACCGAGATATTTTCTACTGCAGTCTGCATGATACCACCACAATAAACTGCAGTGTCCCCCAAACTGGTGCGGATTTAAACTGAACAACATAAACTTTGATGTCCTAATTATGGTGTAACCAGAGTTGTACGTCTGAATCAGTTGTTGCTGCCCTACAACAACAGTGATTTCTTCTTCTCAGGTGATCTTCACAGCAGATCAAACCTATGAGCTGATGTTCTGTTTAGAGGAGCTCACCTCCTCCCTGAACATTACTGCATCCAGCACAGACAGGCCTATGCAGGTATGCATGTCCTCACATGGCCTTATTCCCTTCCACACAATCAGACTAAAAGCTCTCTAATAGCTGCTTCTAACCGCATGTTTAATATTTGGTGCTGCTATCACCACTGTTTTAATTTTAAGATGACATGTAGGCAGATGTCACTCTGGAAGTCTTACTAGATTGCTTCATCTTTTTATTTGAGTGTTTTTGTCGTTGCAGGAGGAAGACGTAGAGGTGACCAAAGTGGAGCTCCTGAGACTCGCTCTGGCCAGGAATCTGGCTCAAGCGATAGTCAAAGAGGGAACGGTGGAAATATAAAAGTTTGACTTTGCATTTTTGTACTGTATATATTAAAGAATCATTAATCACAATGTGCTCTTTGATAATAAAACACTTCATGATACTCATTGAAATCTGACCTTTTTGGAGATGGTTTGTCAAGCAAAATGACTTCAGAACATCAAACATCCATGAAGACTCTTTATTTTTTTTCATGCAGCAAAGAAATGACACATCATACCTTTATATATACAGTCCTAACACTCTCCCCAAATCTACAAGTCACATTTTCACAGAAGTTGTCATACACCAAACAGCAGGTACATTACATTAGATGCTATGTACAGTAAACACACTTCTGTACATCCAGTATGATGAATAGAGGACTATCAGAGATGGGGCGCAGTGAAGTCAAAGCGTTCAGACCCCTGAATGTTCTGAGTTCATTTTAAATGAATAAAATCATGAACTCAAGTATTCAGCGCCTTCAGTGTAGCGCTTTAAATTGTAGGTTGGTTGGTCCTTTTTATGTTGAGATGTGGGAATATGAATGGATCAAACATTGTCTAAATGTGTTTTAGAGCGCATGTAAGGTCCGAAAAAAAAGCTGAAGTCTTTGATAAAACATAATTCTTAGTCTGGGTATAAAAATATTTAAAGCTTTGAGATGTCCCTGGATAATACTGGCCTGGGTTACTGTAAAACAAGAAAAACTGAAACAACCTGGATTCTGTTTTTAAATAGCTCCGCCCACATGACAATTTGGGAAGGAAGATGGCCGTGAACCCAAAGACCACTAACAGAACCTGGTAATACCTCAGCCCAGATTAGTGAACCTGTCATATGGACGACCATCTATCAAACATGTTACAGCAGCAACACGAATGTCACTCTTCACTATCAACACTTGACAGACTGTTTGTAGTTGCCAAATTGCATTTGGTAAATCACTCTATGCACAGGTTATAGTCCACAGAGCAAGATTATCTGCTCTACCCTCTGTGAAGCAGGCCTGAAAGAAAAGTGACTTCATCCAAATATTACAGAAGTTTGTTTAAATTTCAGCAGTTTGAGTTATTACGTTGAAATTTTGAGATAACTTAAAAAATGTAAACTTATCGATTGCAAAACAGGCTGAGGTGGCTGCAGGACCTTTTTTGTAGCAAAGTCCAAGTTTTAAAGCCGGCAGATCTGCCAAGAGGTCTGTAGATGACAGTTCACAGATTCTTCCTATTGAATCTGATGACGGCTTAACGGGATCTCAGCGTGGATCACTAAACAAATATAAATGTATCCACATCTTCGGTGTGCAGAAAGTGAAAGGGGTCGGAGAGGACCGAGTACAGTTTCCCTCCATCCCACTGCTGCATACTGGATAATAATCTGCTTCGTTCTGGATTCAGATTCAGGTTGGTTCAGTTCACATTTGTTGGGTTTAGCGATCCACTGTCGTACCAGGAACAGAAAATAACTACGACAGAAATACTCCCAATACTGAGCCTGGTAGGAGGAGCGTAAACATGTTTAATAATACAAAACCAAACTATGGACAACCACTAACTGAGAATCATTTATCTTAAAAATGAAAACATGAAATAAAACCAGTGTTGGACTCCTAACTGCATTTCTGCAATTACACATTACCATCTAAGTCCTGCTGCACAACGTTTCCTTCATAACCTAGCAGAGGGCTACATTAGCAACACAATTTACTCACACATATCCAAAATCCATCCATAGAATAATCCAAAACACACGCCCCTCTTCTCTTTCTGCAGCAATGATATCTGACTGAATCCTTCATGTCAGCCTAATCTTCAACTCTCAGGATATATTCAAGTATAAATGTTCAGCAACACGAATAAATAGAAGCACATCTGCAGCGCAGGCTCTGCTAACTTCAAGGTTATTTTCTTTTAAAATATTTTTGTGATCAACCCAACATTTTAAGTCTCTAATGCATTATTCATTGCAGTTTCAAACCATTTCCCCTAGGGGAAAATGCATTAAAATATCTGTCAATAGCCTATAAGCACCAAGGCCTTACATACCAGTGTCTATCTTTGCTATGTTAGCTATCTGCAAGCGCTGCATCAATCATCAATAAAACTTTTAGTGATTGCTGTTGTTATTGCTGAGATGGACGTTGTCATCTCAGCAATAACAACGTCCAAAACATGAACTATTGTAAGGAATGTAAAGCTGAAGTGAAGAATATAACAAACGTTCCCCCTCCGGTCTCTCTGGGATGGATATGAACACACACACATGCGCACACTCACACCCCTTCATGGAGTATGAACCAGCCTGTCCCTGCTGAGCAGCCGGTCTCCACCGCTGCTATAGATGACCCCACATCTCTGGAGGGGGAAACTGGTCAACCTCTCCGACCTCGTTGCATGGGCGGTCTCCGAGAGTAAAAGCCAGCTTGTAGCGCAGACGCACCTTATCCTGCGAGGACAAGCAAAGAACATGCAAATTATACACACTCCCGCAGAAGGATTGGCAGCTCTGAAAATGCACTATTTGGACAAAAGTGTTGGGCTACCTATACGTTAGAGGTACAGGAGCTTTTATGGCATCCCATTCCAAATCCATAGGCATAGATTTGCAGTTATAACAGCTTCCACTCTTAGGGGAAGACTTTGTACAGGATTTTGGAGTATCTGTGATGTGAGACAATGATGTTGTCTGGCAATCTTTGCTCTAGTTCATCCCAAAGGTGTTCAGGGGGCAGGATTCTCCGCTGGCCAATCACCAAACAGATCCTGTATGCACTTTGTTTTGTACACTGGGGCATAGTCATGCTGGAACAGAAACTGACTTGTTGCAGTGGTCACACCCATCACAGCACCACACTGAAATTTAGAATAACCAACTTGTAAAAAAAACTGCTTAAAACACCTAAATTCAAAGATAAAACGGCGTAGTCCAACACTTTTGTCCACATAGTTTATGTATTGTTTGTATATTGTTGCCGCTGGAAGTGTTATTATGTAATCTACCTTTGCTGGATTGGCCAGCAGCATGATCTGAGTAATGGAGGCTGGAGGTAGAATGGGGTTAAAGGGTGCCAGCTCTGTTCCCGACGGGGGCTGCAGCTTCAGCTTCATCGACTGGTGGAAGACAAAAGGAAGAGTCAACGCTGTTCGTTTACGCCTTTATTAGAGGATTCACAGTTCTTCTTTTTGTTGCTGTAAGTGGCAAAGGGACATTTTACACTATGAAGACTGTTGAAGCCTCATATCAGCTTTGCATGAACTTAGATAAAGAGGAATGGAACTGATTATCCATCGTGAAAGATGACTTAAGGAAAGAGACTGAGCAACAGATATCACAAGTGAAAGATGAAGTTAAGACATTGTGGATTAGTGAACAATTAAAGTTTCTTTCAGTTAAAATAGTCCATCCATCCATCACTTTTGCAGGGAAGCAGCAGCCTAAGCAGTGCTCATCCAGCGGAACACCAAGGCATTCCCAGGACACCAGAGAGGTGTAATCTCTTCATCATGTGCATCAAGGTCTCCAGTGCTTCCCAGTCAGACATGCCCAGAACACCTCAGCCAGGAGGTGCCCAGGAGCATCCTCGTCAAATGCTCAAACCGCCTCAATTGTCTCCTTTTGAAGCAGAAGACTAGCAGCTCTACTTTCAGTCCCTTCAGAATCATTGTACTCCTCACTCTGTCTCCAAGGGAGAGGCCAGTCACCCTTCACCCAGTCACAGAAATGAGAGAAAGCTCATTTCTGCTGCTTGTATCTGCATAATTTATTCTTTCTGTCAACATCCAAAGCTTGTGACTACAGGTGAGGGTAGAGACTAATCTGTAAATCAGCTCAGTGTCCCCAAACAGTCTATTTGGGCGACCGTGGCTCAGGGGGTTGGGAAGCGTATCTGTAACTGGAAGGTCGCCGGTTCGATCCCCGGGCTCTCTGTCCTGGTCGTTGTGTCCTTGGGCAAGACACTTTACCCTACCGCCTACTGGTGTTGGCCAGAGGGGCCGATGGCGCGATATGGCAGCCTCGCTTCTGTCAGTCTGCCCCAGGGCAGCTGTGGCTACAACTGTAGCTGCCTCCACCACTGTGTGAATGCGAGAGTGAATGAATAGTGGCATTGTAAAGTGCTTTGGGTGCCTTGAAAAGCGCTATATAAATCCAATCCATTATTATTATCAATCTGCAATAATGCAATACTCTGCAGTGAAGCTTGAGAAACAGACCGAGAACGCCCCTCTATGGCAAAGACATTCCCTCCATCAGCGTTCCCCCCCAGCTGGACAATGCACCCTGACACAGTGCAAAAACTGCCACGAACAAAGAGCTAAAGGCACTGACCTGTTGCTAGTTGAGGAACTGTCTATGCACCAGTGGGTCAGAGCTATTTTAACGGCAGAAGGAAGACATTCACAACATTAGGTAGTTAGTTTTAAGATTATTGGCTGACTGGGGTGTGTTCTTGGAAAGGTTTTAAAGCTGTGTTAAACATTTTTAGAAGGTGTTATTGGACAAGAAACATCCAATCATCCAATAACATTTCAGCATATGAAAAATGAAGTAATCTGATAGAGCTAAACTGCCACTTTGGATTTCAATCAAACCTCTACTCATCACAAATATCTTGAATAGTACAAAAATAATAGAAGGAATGAAAACATCCATAAAAAGTACTTTAAAGCCAAAATCAGCACTGACTTACATATGAATCCTGTGGTTGGAGGATAAGACAAAACATTTCAAGAGATCTAAAGAGAGACTTTTCCAGTCATCGCTCAGGAAATGAGTAGGTGATAGGTCACAATGTAGGAGCCAATCAAAAGCAAACACTAGGTGATGCCCACAATGAAAGAACAGATGTGTTAATGTCTTTACCTTGGGCACAGCAGCTTGTAGGACCACATTGTGAACAGGCAGAGGTGCTGTATTAAGCATCGACACCACCATTACCAACACGTCAGGCCGCCCAGGGGGACAGTCAGAAGCAAAGTTGAGCAGCATGCGAACGCCATCCTTGTCATATGCAGTCACAGGTAAGACTTTACCTGAAGACACAGAGAATAGCCAGTCAAGCAGAGGCAGCCATTAACTACCCTCTCAGGTGCTGAGCCCTGTCTTTGTCTCTTACTCGGTCTGATGGCCTCCAGA